AATCTTTCCGTCAATCTGTCATAAGCTTTAGACAAAATCCGATTGTCACATTCAGCAGTTTTGATTCTCTCAGTTAATGTTTCATTTCCTACAGAAAGGGACTGAATCTTATGGTCCAGATCAGCTGTTCCCTCTTCCATAGTAATGAATTTCTCCTTAACATCAGCCTGAAGAACTTCAACCTGATTCTTGAGAATATTGTTATCAGCCTGGAGAACTTCAAACCGATTCTCGAAAAGATTGTTATCAGTCTGGAGAACTTCAACCTGATTCTTGAGAAGATTGTTATCAGCCTGGAGAACTTCAAACTGATTCTTGAGAAGATTGTTGTCATTCTCAATTGTTTTTAAGCGTTCAATCTCTACCTTAAGAATCCTGGATTCGTCTCGTAAAGACTTTATCATATTTCTATTATCAAACCATTTGGTGCCAATGAAAACTACGAATCCCAGAAGGATCCATATATGTGGGGTGATAGACACCTCTTGTAAAATCTCCCACATGGTACAATTAAAAAAATCATTAAATTCTTGAACAGTAATGTGTTCAGACATTTTATTTATAAAAGAAAATTTTTTTACCTGCAAAGATCGGTTCCTGCCAGTGGTGGTCTCTGTGTTTTTGGAGCCTGTCCTAGAACTAGCTCTTGTAGACCAGGCTGGCCTTGAACTCACAGAGATCCGCCTGTCTCTGCCTCCCAAGTGCTGGGATTGAAGGCGTGCACTACCAAGGCCTGGCAGGCCTCAAACTCACAGAGATCTGCCTGCCTCTGCTTCCCAAGTGCTGAGATTAAAGGCGTGCTCTACCACTGCCTGGCCGTCCTCAAACTTGTGATCCTCCTGCCTCTGCCTCCTTCAGCAAATCCTACCGGCGTGGGCCACCACAACCGGCCAAGTCACTTTGTAACAGACCAAATCTGACGCTGTGGCAGCTTTTGTTGCAAAACCGCAAGTACTTGAGCTTCTGCTAATTCAGGCAGTGGGGTTCCGCTGCAAAACTTAGCCAAGGCAGGCAGAATGGGCCTGTGTCGCCGAGTGGGTCTTGGACTCGGCACTGGGGCCGGAGTCACGAACTGAAAAACAGCACCGGGGAGGGTGCTGTGTTAGCTAGCGGGCTACCCGCTTGAGTCGGGGGCAAAATAGCCCGACGTTGGACGCCAAAATGTAACGGCGTAAATGAATGCAGACAGAGTGTAAAAATATATATATATAGCTTTAATGTAGAAATAGACTTACAGAACCACCGTTCCCGCGGAGACCAGGAAAGCAGAAGCGAGCGCTCAGAGCTTGCTCGCCAAATTTATAGGCAGACATTAGCCCGAGGCGAACACGCCCCCTAAGGGGCGGGACTTATCCCTACAGAGGGGGAAAGGGTTTGTTCGGCTTACACTTCCACATTGAAGTTCGTCACTGAAGGAAGCCAGGACAGGAACGCCAGCAGAGCAGGAACCTGGAGGCAGGAGCTGATGCAGAGGCCAGGGAGGGATGCTGTTTACTTGCTTGCTCCCCATGGCTTGTTCAGCCTGCTTTCTTATAGAACCCAGGACCACCTGCCCAGCAATGGCACCTCCCACGATGGGCTGGGCCTTCCTCCAAACATCACTCATTAAGAAAATGGCCTACAGCTATCTTCTGGAGGCGTCTTCTCTATTGAGGTCCCATCCTTTCAGATGACTCTAGCTTGTGTCAAATTGACATGAGTGGTCATCTCAGTCCAGTGATTCCTCTTGAGGGCACATCAACAAAATCCTGTGCCTGTCCACCAGCTCTGCCTCTGAACGTTCCCAGCGATCCCAATAACAACACGGTGGGAACGAGCCTCTAACACCTACGCTCTCCAGGACACTTGCAATCCAAACTATAGTACGCTGCTGAATTTGAATTTCAGATAAACAGTTATTCAGAATATGCCTCATGTGATATCAATACTTGACAGGCACCACACTGTGTGTGTGTGTGTGTGTGTGTGTGTGTGTCCCCGTACATGCCTTCAAACATGGAGATCAGAGGACAACTTACAGGAGTCTGTTCTCTTCAGCTCGTAGGTTCTGGGGAATCAAACTCAGATCGTCAGACTTGGCAGCAAGCCCCTCCACTCAGTGAGCCATATTGCTGAGCGTCTACATAAAGAGGCTCGATGAGAGCCAGAATATTTTAGGGTCAGTAACATAGGAATATGTGACACCAGAGATGAGTGTCCTTAGCTTCACTATTTGACATAAGGGCCCAGGTATGGTGGTCACAAGGGAATCCCAGTGCGAGTCAAGTTAAGGTGGGAGGATCAGCAGTTCAAGGTCATCCTTTGCTACAGAACAAATTCAAGTCCAGCCTGGTTCATGAGACCCTGTCTCAAAACCTAGAAAACAAAGGTAAAAACAAATAATAAAATGAAAGCACTTAACAGGAGTTGCACTGTGTGTGTTCTATAGACGCACTCATAATGGCTTTTGTGCACGGATAAAACAGACACGTGTATCCACAATTACAAAAACAAGGTGCTGGTGGGATTGCTCAGTGGTTAGGAGTACTGGCTGCCCTGGAAGAGGAACCACGTGACCGCTCACCACCCTCATACACATGAAATAACCCTTTAAAACTGCATCACGCGTGTGCTTATTCTTACAGAAATCTATTACCCAAGTATACCGGATTTTGCTTGCTCCAGAATTATAGGTTGCTTTAGAAAGTACAAGGTCCTGAGTGACGGTGGCTTTCTGGCAGTTTCTCTGGCGCCAGCCGTGTGTTTTCTAACTTATAGATTTGTACAGCCCTTGGTTTCCAGTATTTTGCCCATGCAACAACAGGGCTTTTGGCGAGGAGAAAGGAGCACAGCCAGCCCTGGAGATAAACACATTCACTTGGCCTGTGGCATATGGAAGTTGACTCTCCGTCTGTCACAGCCATTTTCCAAGGGACCACAACAGAAAACACTGTGGGCCGGAGAGAGGACAGGCCCAGAGCAGCCTTGAGTCATTGTTGATTTTGTCTGAGTGGTGCTAAAAACCAGGTCACTCTCAATCACAGAAACACAGACCTGGGCGTAGTGAAACATATGCTGTTCCATTTCTGTAACTCCTAGAAGCTGTGTTTCCCGGAGCAGGGGAGGGAGGCAAAGGCTTCCTCTGCAGCCCACTGAACATCTTCAAACGCAAGGAAATGGGAAACATCTCAACATTGTAGTTTTTCCCCCCAGCCTCTCTATGGAATTCTCAAAGACCAGAAAAATGTCAGTAGGTAGTTTTGCCCTAATCACAGCTCTGCAAAGGAAGAAAAAGAAAAGAAAAGAAAAAAAAGAAGGAAAGAAAAAGCCTATAAAAACCACAGGAAGAACTGATAGATTGTGGCTGTGGAAGTCTACCAAGCTTTTTTTGTTTCTTTCTTTAAGCTATTAATTTACAGCTGGGCTGACAGCCTACTGCAGGCTGCCTCTGCACACCTAGATGTCTCCAGGCAAAAGAGCCTAAGAGGAGTGGACAACTTGGAAGGGACATTACCCAAGCCCAGATGGCGCACATCTGGCCAAAACTTAGGAAGGAAGAAACCAACCTCTCATATCTACAGCCAGGTGCTGGAGCTTCCCAGAAAACCCCCTTATGAAGGGCAAAGGGTGGCTGTGAGAGGAACAAGAAAGACCCTGAGAAAAAGACAGGCCATGTGAGCCAACAGGTGGGAGAGTCTAAGGCGCTGCCCACCACTTGATAACATCATTTCAGACACATTTAAATTATTTAGATTATTGTAACCAAGACGTTCTTTTTTTTTTTTTTTTTTTTTTTTTTTTGGTTTTTTTGAGACAGGGTTTCTCTGTGGCTTTGGAGCCTGTCCTGGCACTAGCTCTTGTAGACCAGGCTGGTCTCGAACTCACAGAGATCCACCTGCCTCTGCCTCCCGAGTGCTGGGATTAAAGGCGTGCGCCACCACCGCCCGGCTCAAGACGTTCTTAATAACACACCAAACAGCAAGCACCGGGTTGAAACCACTTAGACGCCACTGCTAAAATATACGGGGGAAATTTACAGCAGAGTGGTTCTGAGGTAGGAACCACAGGTGTGTGCGCACACCAGACGCAATTAAGAACCAAATGGATATTGCCTCCTCATTTACGCAGCAGAAAAAAATGGCCAGGTGCTCCTAAATTTAGGGCAACACATTAAAAAAAAAACAAACCCAAAAACCTAAGCTAAGGAGGTGACCCATTCTCTGAACAGGAAGGAAGGCTCCCGTGGACTAAGAATGGTGTAGACAATCACTTCGGAGGTTTCTTGAGCATTAAGTATGCAAGTGCGTCCACAAGCAGCTCCCCATGGGGGTGGGCCTGGTGAGACGAAAGCCTGGGCTCTAGGTGGCCTTGCAACAAACACCAAACCAGGGGAGGAACTCGAGGCAGCCCCGGTTCAGGGCCACCCAGAACCGGGGGAGGCGGCGGCGGGGGAGTTAAGAATGTGGCTTTCACAGTCTCCCTTGACAGTCCAGGGAAAGGCTCAGTGCCACCCGGGTAGGCAACACACACACACACACACACACACACGTGCAAAGGCTCAAACACGCAAGCCCGCCCTACTATCCCCGTGCGCCGCCTGCTAGCTTCTGGCCTCGGTCACACACACACACACACACACACACACACACACACACACACACACACACACACACACACACACACACACACACACACACACACACACACACACACACACACACACACACACACACACACACACACACACACACACACACACACACACACACACACACACACACACACACACACACACACACACACACACACACACACACACGTGCAAAGGCTCAAACACGCAAGCCCGCCCTACTATCCCCGCGCGCCGCCTGCTAGCTTCTGGCCTCGGTCGCACGGTGGCGTACTGCGCAGGCGCGTTCCCGCGGGCTGCCATGCGGCCTCCGAGCCGCCAGGGGCCGCTGCGGGTAGAGCGGGAGCTTTACGGGGAGCGCCGCGCAGCGCCGGACCCTCTTGAGTGCGGCCTCGCCGGTTTGGCGGGGTGAAAGGTTGCGAAGATGGCGACGGCCTTGAGCGAGGAGGAGCTGGACAATGAAGACTATTACTCACTGCTGAACGTGCGCAGGGAGGTGAGGCCCACGGCGCGGCGTCGGCGGGGCTGACGCCCGGCCCGATGGGTCTGGAGGGTCGGACGGGTGGCTCTGGCCCCGCAGCCGTCCTGGGGAGGCAGCGGCCCGGTGCGGAGGCCGCGTGACCCCGCCGCCGTGTGCGCCTGCCAGCCGTCGGGCTGCTCGGAGCGCCGCGACCCTCGCGCCCTGGCGCGGGTCCAGCATCTGCCCAGCTCTCCCCAACCCGTGCGTGGCGTGCAACGTGTCCCGGCCGAGCCCGAGCCCACGCACTTGCCGGAGGGAGGACGAGTGTCCCGGGGCAGCCGCTGCCTTGGGGTTCCCGGGCCCCCGTGACCCAGGCCCATGCTCCCTCTACACACACCTGCCCTAGATGGGGGGGTTAGTGTCAGCGGCCTGAGCCAGCAGGCGGACAAACTGAGTCCCGGGACACCAAGGTCAAGGCCACCTGGGAGCCTCCCTGGAACTCAGCCGGACCCCTAACTCTCCGGTGCCACCGAAGTTGGATCTAGCCTCAGACGCTAGCGTTCCGTGCCCTCCATCGACCCCTTGAGCCGCCGCCCAGAAATTAGACAGCAGGACTTCCCCAGCCTCGGCTCAAGGGGCCGAGGATGAGCAAGAAGTGCTAGGCCTGAGATGCAACAGCGTCCTGACTGGGGCTTCAGCATCCAGGTCAAGTGTGTTCACGCTGTCTCCTCGAGAATAAAAAGTAACCTGAGAGGCCCTCACTGTCTGCCACATGTACTTTTCTCGCAGGTTCCCATTTGCTTTGCTAGTCGGCAGTTGAGTTCTGTCGGGAAGGGTTTCCGGAAAAGCTTCCAAGGTCAGGGTGCGTTAGTGGTTAGTTGGGTCCATCTCTGCCGGACAATCCTATCCTTCAAGTTTCCTGGTAGTGATCAAGTGTAACCGAACTGGACTGTCCTCAGCAAAGCTAGTTTGCTTGCTAATAACCAGCGTCTGTTAAAGTGCTTGTTTTGAGCACGGCCACCTGCTGAAAGAACTCTAAATGCTCAGGGCGGTGGTAGCACAGAGGCAGGTGGATCTTTGTGAGTTCGAGGCCAGCCTGGTCTACGTTGAGAGTTCCAGGACACAAAGCTTTGCAGAGAAACCGTGTCTCGAAATACAAAAAAAAAAAAAAAAAAAAAAAAAAAAAAAACACCTCTAAATTGTCATAGCTACCCTCATAATAATCCATTATTTTATTTATTTATTATTTTTTTTCTAGACAGGGTTTCTCTGTGTAACCCTGGCTTTCCTGAAACTCGATTTATAATTATTTAAAATCGAAGGAACTGTCAGGTATAATTCATCCCTGGACATTAGAACTCCAGAACCTAGCTCTTGAACTGTGCTGCTGCCTCAGTTTACCAGCCCACATACTACAAAGCTCTTTGTTCTAATACTATGCTCTTGGCTACCCGGAGTATGCATTTCTCAGTTGTACCAACCACTGTTTCCCACAGAAACACAGGGGCTTTCTGGGGCCTGGATTTATAGCTGAACTGCCCTCAGACTTTAAACAAATTGTTTCTTTAACACTTTGCAATTAAATGAAACTAACTTTTACCCTGGCTTGTTATTGTTACATTTTGTTTTTTGAGGCAGGCGCACCCTGAGTAGAGCAGCCTGGCCTTGAACTCACAGAGATCCACCTGCCTTTGCCTCCCAGGTGCTAGGATTAAAGGCAAGAGCCACAGTGTATACTATACCCTGGTTCTTGAGGAAGCGAAATGGTAAGAGAATCCAGTTTTTTCAGGACCCGGTTTTGTTTTGTTTTGTTTCAAACCCTCACACTCCTAACTAGACTGAGTTGTTAGTGGTTGAGCCACTGTTTATCTGCATGCCAGAACTTCTGAACCTAGGGAGCCTTCGGTGTTCAGAGGACATTTAACCCCTAGGATTTTAGGGCCTTTCATTGCTACTGAACTGGGATACAAGCCAAAGAAATACCTCTTTTAAAGGACTTCTTACTTTTTTTTTTTTTTTTTTTTTTTTTTTTTTTTTTAATTTTTCGAGACAGGGTTTCTCCGTAGCTTTTGGTTCCTGTCCTGGAACTAGCTCTTGTAGACCAGGCTGGCCTCGAACTCACAGAGATCCGCCTGCCTCTGCCTCCCGAGTGCTGGGATTAAAGGCGTGCGCCACCACCGCCCGGCAGGACTTCTTACTTTTGCCAGTGAGTGCAGGCACTCCCTTCGTTTATAGCCGTAGATGAAGTCCTCCTCATCAAAGAACACATTCAGTGTTGAGAGCCGTCATTTCTGAATGCTGAACTTTGTGGCTCAGGGTTCTACTAGAATGGAGGCTTTAGAGGTGATGACATTAGTGTTTACTAGAAGGTTTTTGTTTGTTTTTTCAGACCTGAGCTGGAGAATAAAACAGAAGGAATCTTGAGTTGTGTATGTGTGCATATGTGTTAGAAGCGTGTCTAAGCTTAGCTTTATGTGCTGTCAGCTCTGACTTTAGTAGAGTGTGCCATAGGAGGGCACTCCAGCTAGAATGCTCAGCGTCTAGCTAGCAAGTTCAGTCGTCTCCCTAGAAGTCACAGATGGGAGCAACGCTGCAGAACCTGGGCTTTCCGTTTACAGTTTAGAAGCACTGAGCTATACTGGATCTCAGTCGGTAGTGTTTGTCTAACTGGCGTGAAACCACGTTCTCCACCAGGTGCTGCAGTCAAACTGGGCATGGCGGCACTTGGGAAGCAGAAGCAGAAAGTTTGGTGCTCAAGGCCATCCTCAGCTACACAGAGACCAGCCTGAGCTACATGAGACCATGTTTCAAAAAGAGTGAAGTAAAAATTAGATGAATAAGAGAATTAAAGAACTGAAGTAATAAGGAAATGCCGAAAATTCCCTAAGAATCTCCTTTCTCAGGGTTTCTACGGCAGAAGGTCGCTGGCTAGCCAGGACCACCAGCTCCTGCTATAAACCAAGCCCATGGCCCGAGCGAGGGAGGCCCTTTCTTCACTGTTGCAGGGCTTCTGGTGGTAGAGTGGTGACCCCCAGTAGTCGAGCCCACCGACGCGAGGCCGGCTCTGTGGTCTCTTGTGTTAGATGCACGATCAGGACTAAAATTGAACCCGTCTGATTTCTGGGATGGTTTTTCCAAACTGGAGAATGGATTTCTTGACAGCAAATTAGCATTAAATTGATTGATCCTTAAGCTTTTTGTGGAATTTCTCTTTTAAATTTGTATAGGTGTCACGCTTGAGTACATGTATGTTCAGCACATGCATTGTTGTAGGCAGTTGTGAACCATTGTGAGGTGCTGGAAACTGAACCCTGGTCCTGCAAGAACAGCAAGTGCGCTTAACCATTGAGCCATTTCTGGGTTGACTCTTGAGTTTCTCCACATGCACGGTAGTGACTGGGCAAAGGTTTGGCATTGGGCGTGTAGGGTCAGACCTGGCTGTCCACAACCAGAATTCTTTCTGTCGCCCATTCTGCCTATCCCTAACCTGCAAGTGCTTAGCAGTAGAGATGACAGCGCTGTCCTTGATAGCCTCTGAAGCCCCAGGAGCCTGGGAAGTGTGGCCTTCTGAGTGGCTGCCTTGTGTTCCGGTGCCCTTTCTGTTGGGAGTGCTGTTGCCCTGTCCAGCCTTCCTGCCCATTGTCTTTTTCTTCTAATTGCGTGTGCTGTTATTGTATGGAGCACAGTGTGAGATCTGAGGACAACTTCTGGGTGCCAGTTCTGCCTTTTCATCGTGGGAGAACTCAGGTCATGAGACTCGGCCTCAAGCTCCTTCACCTGCCGAGCGGTCCTACATGCCACTCCTGTTTGCTTTGACACAAGGATGCAGCTGACAGCTGGGGATGGTGGCTCCAGCACGCCAGGGCAGAAACAGGCCAGCCTGTCCTACATAGGGCAGTCTCAAATAAATAAAGTAACTAACCGATGATAAGAACAAGTGCTAAGCACTTGCTGTGAGTTAGGGTGACATGTGCTGTACACATCGCCATGTGGGCAGGATGTGTGTGAAGTGCTGAGCATAAATGGATATCCAGTTAGTATTTACTAGCTTTTGAAGACATCCACACGGCATGGTGAAGGACACCTGTAATCTCAGCATTTGGAGGTAGGTCAGGAGTTCATGGTCCCTGTTGTCTCTTTAGTGAGTTTGAGGCTACCCGGAGCCACATGAGACCTTGTTTCGAAAGACCAAAACTAAATGTGTGTATAAATGGCCTTAGTGTGCCTCATGCTAAGTTGCTCATCTGTTGTACCACTGAACGTCAGTGCTGGGGACGTGGCTCAGTGGTAGAGGAAGTGCCTTGTGTACGCAGGGACTGGACTCTGTCTCCAGCCCTGCAGGAGGAGAGATCGTGCCAGAATGTATACCAGGCATTAGGTTATGAGAGCCCAAGCTTTTCTGCCTATTCCAAATGCTGAGTGGATGAGTGGGTTTTGGTTTTTGGGTTATTTTTTTTTTTTTTATTTTTTTGAGACAGGGTTTCTCTGTAACTTTGGAGTCTGTCCTGGAACTAACTCTTGTAGACCAGGCTGGCCTCGAACTCACAAAGATCTGCCTGCCTCTCGAGTGCTGGGATTAAAAGCATGAGCTGGAGTAAATTGTTTTTAAAAGGCACTGCAGTCCTGAATGGTGCTTCCTGCAGAGCTGACTGGGTGGGTGGCTCTGCTGGAGTTGATTCTGAGCACAAAACCTACCACAGAGGGTAGAGACTGGAGTCTAAGATACAATAGCGGGGCACCCGAAGATGCTCTGAAGAGATGGGCAAGATGAGAGAAAGTGAGAAGCATGGGGTGGCCAGGGTGACTAGGAGAGGCTGGCTGTGGAGTGGGGAGAGAGCCATGAAGGATGCTTGGCCGGGTTCAATGTTATCTTGGTGTCATTAGCCAACACTACAAAGTTAATTTTACTTCGTTAATGAACCATAAGCTAGTTAATACCTTCCTGTTTTGAGCATTTTGGTAATAGATTCTTAACGTTTTTGTGCTCTGGTTTTGTATCATGCAGGTGAACAGTTTCCTTTTCTCTCAAAGATTTC